CCTCTTGACACGGGCATGAGTCTAAAATACCAATTTCAGCTCTTGGAACATCTCATATGCTCCGTGACGTTTCAAAAATGTATTTGAAATCCCGGTTCTAAGTCGTAAAGCATGGTGCACTAAACTATCAAGTAGTCATCATATTGTGCTAGCCAAACGTTCATAATGTCTGGATCTGCTCCTGCAATAGGTCTGTCACCTAGCGGTGCATTAAGGACATAATTCTTCTGTGCAGCAATGAGGATACACCTCAAATCATGGACCCAGTCCGCATCATTGCTACTATCATCTTTCAACTTAGTTTTCTCTAGGAACATATAAAAACATAGGGAAGCTATAACACGAGCTATTGATCTACAACATAATTTGCAAAATACTATCAGGACTAAGTTCATGATAACTTAAAGTTCAATTAATCATATTACTTAAGAACTCCCACTTAGATAGACATCCCTCTAATCATCTAAGTGATCACGTGATCCAAATCAACTAAACCATGTCCGATCATCACGTAAGATGGAGTAGTTTTCAATGGTGAACATCACTATGTTGATCATATCTACTATATGATTCATGCTCGACCTTTCGGTCTCAGTGTTCCGAGGCCATATCTGCATATGCTAGGCTCGTCAAGTTTAACCCGAATATTCTGCATGTGCAAAACTGGCTTGCACCCACTGTATGTGAATGTAGAGCTTATCACACCCGATCATCACGTGGTTTTTCGGCACGACGTACTGTAGCAACGGCGCATACTCAGGGAGAACACTTATACCTTGAAATTTAGTAAGGGATCATCTTATAATGCTAACGCCATACTAAGAAAAATAAGATGCATGAAGGATAAACAACACATGCAATCAAAATATGTGACATGATATGTCCATCCTCATCTTGTGCCCATGATCTCCATCATCGAAGCATCGTCATGATCTTCATCGTCAGCGCGACACCTTGATCTTCATCGTAGCATCGTTGTCATCTCGCCAACTATTGTTACGACGACTATCGCTACCGCTTAGTGATAAAGTAAAACAATTACATGGCGATTGCATTGCATACAATAAAGCGACAACCATATGGCTCCTACTAGTTGCCGATAACTTTATTACAAAACATGATCATCTCATACAACAATTCATATCACATCATGCCTTGACCATATCACATCATAGCAAGCCCTGGAAAAACAAGTTAGACATCCTCTACTTTGTTGTTCCAAGTTTTACGTGGCTGCTACGGGTTTCTAGCAAGAACGGTACTTACCTACGCATCAAAACCATAATGATTTTTCGTGAAGTGTGCTGTTTTAACCTTCAACAAGGACCGAGCGTAGCCACACTCGATTCAAATAAAGTTGGAGAAACAGACACCAGCCAGCCACCTATGTGCATAAGCACGTCGGTAGAACCAGTCTCATGAACGCGGTCATGTAATGTCGGTCCGGGCCGCTTCATCCAACAATACCGTCGAATCAAAGTATGACATGCTGGTAAGAAGTATGACTAATATTGCCCACAACTCTTTGTGTTCTACTCGTGCATATAACATCTATGCATAGACCTGGCTCGGATGCCACTGTTGGGAACGCAGTAATTTCAAAAAAATTCCAACGATCACGCAAGATCTATCTAGGTGATGCATAGCAACGGGGGGAGAGTGTGTCGACGTACCCTCGTAGACCGAAAGCGAAAGCGTTAAGCAACGCGGTTGATGTAGTCGAACATCTTCACGATCCAACCGATGAAGTACCGAATGCATGGCACCTTCGCGATCTGCACACGTTCAGCTCGGTGACGTCCCTCGAACTCTAGATCCAGCTGAGGCCGAGGGAGAGTTCCGTCAGCACGACGGCGTGGTGACGGTGATGATGAAGTAACCGGTGTTGGGCTTCGCTTAAGCACTACGACGATATGACCGAGGTGGAAATCTGTTGAGGGGGGCACCACACACGGCTAAAAGATCAACTTGATCAACTTGTGTATCCATGGGGTGCCCCCTTCCCCCGTATATGAAGGAGGGAGGGAGGAGGAGGCCGGCCAGGGGAGGAGGCGCGCCATAGGGGGGCAATCCTACTCCAAGTAAGAATCGCCCCCCCCCTTTCCTATTGCAACTAGGAGAAGGGGGGAGGAGGGGGAGGGGAGAAGGAAAGGGGGGCTGGCCACCCTAGTCCAATTCGGTTTGGGCTAGGGGGGGCGCCACACCTTGGCCTGCCTCCTCACTTCCACCACTTGGCCCATGAGGCCCATTAACCCCCCGGGGGGTTCCGGTAACCCTCCGGTAATCCTGTTTTATCCGAAACTTATCCGGAACACTTCCGGTGTCTGAATATAGCTGCCTAATATATCAATCTTTATGTCTCGACCATTTCGAGACTCCTCGTCATGTCCGTGATCAGATCCGAGACTCCGAACAACCTTCGGTACATCATATCACATAAACTCATAATACCAATCGTAATCGAACGTTAAGCGTGCGGACCCTACGGGTTCGAGAACTATGTAGACATGACCGAGAAACGTCTCCGATCAATAACCAATAGCGAAACCTGAGTGCTCATATTGGTTCCTACATATTCTACGAAGATCTTTACCGTTCAAATCGCATAACAACATACGGTGTTCCCTTTGTCATCGGTATGTTACTTGTCTGAGATTCGATCGTTGGTATCATCATACCTTGTTTAATCTCGTTACCGGCAAGTCTATTTACTCGTTCTGTAATAATTCATCCCGTAACTAACTCATTAGTCACAATGCTTGCAAAGATAATAGTGATGAGTATTACCGAGAGGGCCCAGAGATACCTCTCCGAAACACGGAGTGACAAATCCTAATCTCGATCTATGCCAACTCAACAAACACCTTCGGAGACACCTATAGAGCACATTTATAATCACCCATTTACGTTGTGACATTTGGTACCACACAAAATGTTTCTCCGGTGTTCGGGAGTTGCATAATCTCATAGTCTGAGGAATTTGTATAAGTCATGAAGAAAACAGTAGCAATGAAACTGACACGATCATAATGCTAAGCTAACAGATGGGTCATGTCCATCACATCATTCTTCTAATGATGTGATCCCGTTCATCAAATGACAACACATGTCTATGGTTAGGAAACATAACTATCTTTGATTAACGAGCTAGTCAAGTAGAGGCATACTAGGGACACTATGTTTTGTCTATGTATTCACACATGTACTAAGTTTTCGGTTAATGCAATTCTAGCATGAATAATAAACATTTATCATGAAATAAGGAAATAAATAATAACTTTATTATTGCCTCTGGGGCATATTTCCTTCAGTCGAGTCGGTGCTTCGATGGGTTCGAGTGTGGGCTTGTTGATGGCGATGAAATCATGGTTGTAGAGTAGGATGGCCGAGGGCGACGACAACACAATAAGGGCAGGGCAGGATGGGGCATGCGTGCGCAGCCGGGTGGTACAAGGTTGTGCGGGAGAAGAACCGGTGGAGGTTAAAGAAAAAGATGAACCGTTGGATTCCGTTCTAACGGTGTAGAGTGAAATGACTGGTTTGAAATCTTTTTCTAGCTGATTGAAGATGGTCCCTAAATCATACTCCTATACTACTAGTGTATATCATCAGATGAAAAGTAGAGAAATCAATCAAAAATGTCGAAATCTTGAACAAAAATACTACTACTCTAAACTGAAAAATTTAAAGACTAGAAATATGCATGATGAGTAGGGTGAGCAGACGGCGCGAATGGCCGTTCTATCCCTCCCTATGTACCGGCGCCTTCCTCTTGGCTCGCCGTCGCCGGCCGCAGCTCCCACCCCTCGCCCCTCCATGGCTCCTAATCCTCCTCCTCGTTCCCGGCCGTCGTACCGAGCTCCCAATCCCCATCTGCCATGCCAGCGCCGTCCTCTTCTTCGGCCATGGTGATGCCCGCCACCTGTTCGACAGTTGGCCTTGAGCGCTCTCTGCCTTCTCTCGCCGTCAGCGCGCTTCCCAGCTCTGCTCTGGTGCGGCTGCTTAGCATTGTTTGGGCTCTGCACAAGTTGGAGCGCCTCCATGGATTGGATGTCTTCCCCGCCAACCCGTCTTTCTGAATTCTGCAGCGCCTGCCTCTGCTTCGGCCAGGCTGCTGCACGCCACATGTTCGACCTGTGGTCTTGCGCCATCCCCACCTTCTCTCAGCGTTTCTCTGCTCCTCTACTGTAGAATTTGGATGTCTTCCTCCTCCCATCCTGGGGCGCAGTTCTGACTCCGACCTCCAGGTCGTACTTCAATCAAGCAGCAGCTATGAAGGCGCAATGTCGGGGAGATGCTTGTTCGTAGGTGTGCTTTGGTTTCTCCTCGTCTTCCAGGCAGGCCGTGTGCTGCCCCTTGGCTGTGCAGGCTGTTGGAGGAGCTGTATTATGAGATCGCTGCTTCCCTTGGCGAAGTAGCGATGCTATAATTCTCCATCACCTGTATGTTCTTCAATCCTCTTATTTTTTGTCAGGGAAATGCTTTTCATTCAACTTTCAAGTTTAACAGTGTGATGTGCAAGTTTAACATTTTTACAGGGGCATTGTTAGTTCATACTCCTTCCTTCCCAAAATTCTTGTCTTAGATTTGTCTAGATATGGATGTATCTAATACTAAAATGTGACTTGATACATCCGTATTTAGACAAATCTAAGACAAGAATTTTGGGACGGAGGGAGTATATAGTTAGGCTTAAACCTTAAAGACCAGTTTATATTAGGCGTAAGCAAAGAACAACCAAGTTGAAAATAATGCTCAACTTTATTGTATACTGGCACCTGAAGTAAAGTTTATTGTGTATAGGCTGAACTATATAGTTTGCCTTCAGTACAAGTATAGATTTGCTACTGCAATACAATATGATTCGTAACATACATAGCATCATTTCAACAAAGAAAAATAAAGCCTTATGCAAAAAAACTAATTGTAGGCCGGTCATAATGCACCAGACCAGCAGCGTGTGGGCAATCGATAGATACGGTTGAAAATACTTCTTCTGCTCAGGCTTGCAGTGCTGAAAATGCTTCTTTGATTGCGGTAGCAGTAACGCAGACGTCCTGCATCGCTGGGCGATCTTTAGGCGTCTCTGCGGCGCATAGCAGGCCAAGCTTAGTGAGAGCAGTGATGCAGCCCATTATTCCTGCAGCCATTTGATGGTTTTCCTGGTCTGAAGAACTCCCTGCTTCTTCTTCATCTTGGTTCCCATAATAGGGGATGATCATTCTAGGATCTAGAATCTCCCCAATCTTTTCAGGAAATGAATCTTCCACGAATTTGTAGAGGCTCAGGCCATCTTTAAACATCTCATCAGTTGGACGCTTCCCTGTGAGCATCTCTAAGATGATGATTCCATAGCTGTAAACATCACCCTCCGTCGAGATTTTGCTTCCATAGCCATATTCTGCAATACATATAGTTATTCAAACAATTAATTAGCACCAAAGGATTGGAGCACAAGAACCAAAGATTTTCTTGGAAATAAAATAAAATAATATATGCTATTTAAATATTCAGAAGAGCATATAAGATATTTTCCAAAAATACAACATCTTGTATTAAGAAACTGTTACCTGGTGCAATGTATCCAACTGATCCTCTTGGCCCCACTAAGCTTGTAGAAGTAGAACCAGCAGTCCCCGAAGAAGAAGAATAACCATGTAGAAACTTAGCCAACCCAAAGTCACCAACATGTGCGCCCATGACATCATCCAGAAGGATATTTCTAGGCTTTAGATCACAGTGGACCACAGGAGGCATGCAATGGTTATGGAGGTAATCCAACGCAGTGGCTATGTCCACTGCTACTACTATTCTTGAACCCAAACACAACGGCCTTTTTGGATGATTCTTGTGGAGTAATGTCGGATAGAGCCAACTCTCTAGGTCACCATTTTCCATAAACTCAAGAATAAGAGCTTTGAACTCATTTCCTGTCGTGTCACTTGTCGAGCATACGGTGATCACCCTTACAAGATTACGATGACGAGTGTTTCTCAGTGCCTCACATTCAGCAAGGAAACTCTTTGTTGCTCCAAGTTGACCAAGTTTGAAAACTTTGATGGCAACTATATGATCTTCAGAATCAATTCTGCCTTTGTATACAGACCCATATTTTCCTGAACCAACCAAGTTGGTTAAAGAAAAACCATTTGTTGCTTTCACTAAATCAGCATATGTCAACTTCTTTAACTCCTTGATAGATGGATGTGCTGCTTGTTCGATTTTCTTTCTCCTTTTGAAAATAATGACTCCAAAGCATGATGACAGAACCAAAGAAAGAGCAGTAATTGCTACAATCTTAAGGATCTTGGAGATGTGCATCTTTTGTTTGTATTTCACTCCATTGCAAAGTGGCAACTCTAGCAATGGGGTGTTTGCACATAACTTCTTGTTACCTTGTATGAACACCTCACTTCCATTCTGGAACATCCCACCTGGTGGTACTGGTCCCTCGAGGTTGTTGAACGACAAATTTAGAAGCTTCATGGAACTAAAGGACTCAAAAAAGTTAGGGATTTCACCGGACAAATTGTTTCGCGATAGATCCATTACAATGATGCCTCTCAAATTCAAGAAATTTTGAGGGATTCTCCCATGAAAATTGTTCCCCTCCATGTGCAACGACTCCAAATGGACGCACTCACCTAGAGTGGAGGGTATTTCTCCAGACAACTGGTTATTGGAAATATTCAATGGGCCAAGGTTGAGCAAGCTGCCAATCTCATGTGGTATTTGTCCCGAGAGTTTGTTATGAGATAAGTCCAAACCTTTTGAAAGGGAGGAAAGTGTAAGTAGCTCCTTTGGTATGCTATCATCAAAGCGGTTAGAAGAGAGGTTCAATATTTCCAAGTTTTTGCAATCCGCTAGAATTCTTGGGATTGGGCCACTCAAATTATTTTCCTGTAAATATAGCTCACTCAGTTGACTTAGACTGCCAATTGATAGCGGAATTTGTCCAGAAAGTTTATTCTGGGATAAGCTTAGTTCAATCAAGTCCTCAAGATTTCCAAGTGATTTGGGGATACTTCCGGTAAGCAAATTATTTTCCATGTAAAGACGTTTGATGTTTGTGAGGTGCTCTATTTCTTTTGGTATAGTGCCAGATATTTTATTTGTTCTTAATAACAATACCTCTAAGTTGTAACTCAGGTCTAGTAGTTGCAGGTTGGGAAGCTTACCTATACTCGCTGGGATGCTACCTTGAAAATTATTCTGTGAAAGTAAGAGCCAGCGAAGGGAAGAAAAGTTCCCTAGAGTAGAAGGTATTGCCCCTGCAAGATTATTTGATGCCAAGACAAGATGTTGCAAGGGTGAGTCATCAAAATTCGGGAAAACAGTAGGTATGGACCCAATAAAGTTGTTTACTCCCAGGGACAAGATTTTGAGTGATGTACTGTTGAATAGTGCAGATGGAATCTCTCCACCTAGCTGATTTTTGGTTAAGACCAAAAATTGAAGTGATGAACTATTAGCTAGGAGAGACGGGATAGGTCCTATGAGGCTATTGTCAGTGAGATTAACAGAGTGAAGAGCAGGACTGGTTCCAAGTGAACGAGGTATATTACCCGTCAAGGTATTTCCAGCAAGATGCAAAACTGAAAGGTTGCGGAGTATCCCCAACCCTTCGGGGATGCCTCCAATCAGCATGTTGTAATCCAGCTTGAGTTGCTGCATATTTGGACATTGGCTTAGGTTTGGTGGGATCTCACCACTGAAGGAGTTGCTCCCAAGATCAATGACTCTAAGCTGAGAGCATGAGGACAGAGTGCTCGGGATCATGCCGCTAAGATTGTTTGAGCTGAGGTTAAGATACCGCAGCATATTCAGTTGGCCAAGTTCAGTCGGGATTGGACCCCGAAGCTGATTATTTGGGAGGTGGATTCTTGTGAGGAGGGTGAGATTTGCAATGCAAGGAGGCATTTGGCCATCAAGGTAGAGTGACTCGAGGTCTAGTGCAACCACACGAGACGTGTGCCTCTTGCTGCAGGTAACACCGGACCAAGTGCAGAACTTTTGGAGGGAACCATCAATCTTCCATGAGGGTAGGAATCCAGAAGTGCTGAGATGAAGTTTAAGGCAACGGAGGGCTTGGAAGTCGGTGCTAGCATCACCATGATCGTGGAGAGCTGTAGCACTAGCACCTAGTAACGAGCATGTCAGAAGAGAGGATAGGACAATGATAATCAGAGGCGCAGGAGACATGATGGCTTGTGTTCCACAGCTTTACTCTTGCATTGAGATATATGGTTTCTCTACTGTATTTGTAGAAGGCTGATGGGTTTGAGATATCAGATATGGTCTCTCCACTTTCATTTATAGAAGGCTGATTGGTTCGATGCTTGATCTACACAATATCAACACTGAGTCAAAGTCATGCGGAGACTTTGACTCCTATGCTCCTGGCCGTCCTTTGCAGGTTTCCCAGTTCCACAAATTCCCAGTCAAAAAGTTTGGCACTACCTCAGTTCACACTTGCGGATGTGTCATTCTTCTCTTGGCGCAAGTTTCCCAGTAAAGAGGTTTGGTTCAGTTCACACTTGAGCTTTAATAAATAGGTGCCCGCAGCGTTGTGATTTCCAGTGCTAACTAGCTACGAGTAGTTTTTGCCCTCTTGCACAGGCGCGGAACTAGCTCACCCGGGCACGGAGAGAATGCTACCTAGCGCTTGCCGTTTGATTGGGTTGCTTACCAGCCTCCTGGTGCTCTTATTTGTCTACTCCTGCCTGCTTACAAGGGGTTCCGTGCACGCAGCATCAGCTCGCCACTGCCATCCTGGTAGTAAGTATTCGTGTTGTATGAGGTCCCTTAACCTTGTAGTACAGCTTTTTAAGCTAGCTCGCAGTGTGGTGGTTCTCCGTCTAGTAACTGTACAATTATTACACATTATTACTTCTGTATATGTATTCTGCACTTCTCTCGTCGTACTTACATTTTTATTTGTTCATAACCTGATATTTTCTAAATCATAACTGAAGACCCGATAGGTTGCCCAGGGGTATACTGCCCACCGTCCTGCTGATAGAAAGGGTACTGGTTCTATACAATGGAGCATGCGAATATGTGGTGGGTGACGGCTGGTCCGAGGCATTTGTTGCTCGTTTCTTCTCCACAAGCTATTGCACATCAAGTCTTCTGACTATTAATGAAGTGTTCATCATTCTACAGGAGTCAATTACTTTCTGCAAGTGTAATCCGTTCGATCAATTGTAACTCGTATTTTAAGAGCATTAGTCTTTTTTAGCGAACGAATATACAGGAGCGGACGAGCCTGTCATTCCAATTTTATAGGCAGAACTTGAGTGACATGTACCAGCAAATAAAAGGCCAACTCTATTCCAAAAGACACAGCATGCCTATTTTAAAGTTTGTCTATTTTGAAGTTGTCTGTTTTCTTTTCTAGTACTTCTGAGTTACTTTCTTAGCCTCTCTTTTTTTCATAGCCTTCGGACCAACTTCCAACAATGGTTATCTCAATTTCACTTCATATGGACCAACCTATGGACTGGAAGTTGCAGCTGGATTTTGTTAGAATTGCACATTTTCAGTAATGGAAATTTAGGGTAAATGACGGGCTATTTTTTGGGTAAATGACGGGCAACCTTATGCCTTCTATCACAAATGAATGTTTCTTCTTCACTTTATTTTGTTATCATGTTTGAATTCATACGCTATATGTGGATTCCTACTGACTTAGTACTACTTGCTTCACCAAAACGTCAGGACCGGCACCCTCGCGTCAAGGCGCGATACCGATCTAGTACATAATTGTGCCATACTTAGCAGGCATATGCAAGGGTTATTGGTCTATAGTTTATCTAATGGAGATGCAGGGTTCTATATGAATTATAATGACTCATTAGATTAACTCGAGATATGACGATCAATCAAGTCAAGATCTGTCAGCTCGGTCTCTCGAAGGTGCTCGTAGGGACAAGGTTTGCGTGTGTGTGTTTGTAGGGGTTAGTATACATGCGTGTATGTGAGTGGCTGAATCTGTAGTGTGTTTCTCAAAACGAAACAAAAGATTAACCCGGGATATGACAATCAGTCAGTCAACTCTATGGTGCGGACTTCTTTTTGATATAGCAGCTCTAAGATGATTGGAAAGGAGAATGGTGTGGGTGAGTGCGCACATACAAAATTGAGGACATCAATGAATGACCACTTCGAGAGACGTTTATTTGTCGTGCTCCTGATGGCTCACCCAATTTGGCTCCACATTCACGAATCATCCCTCACAAATGTTTGACCAATTCGACTAGTGAGTGCCATTATCTTTGCTCTTCCATATATGTTTAAAATATAACCAGCACTAAGCTAATGCAAACAACACAACTCCACTTAGTTAACTAAATGGATATTTCAATGCAGCCCACCGGTAGCTTAGATAGTGGCCCTTCCACTATGTTATACTTGACCTGTCCTTGAATAGACTATGGACCCGGATTGGCTGTACGGATGAACTAGTAAAAAAGAACACCCGAATTTTATGTGAAATGCAACTCATGTCCTTGTTATTAAGTTGCACAACATAAACCTTTACATACTCTGGATTGGCACTCACAATTTGACTATTGAACTCGGTAATGCAAACTAATAGACCTGAAAGACTCCGAGCACTACAGATCAACTATTGGAGCACTCCACGTGTATTCAGCGGAGCTTGTGCTCTATAGATGTTTCCTTATCATTCTTTGATTTATTATACCATTTCTTATTTGTGACATACTTAGTAGGCATGTGCAAGGGTTTTGGACTATATTTTATTTAATAGACATGCACATCTGTAGTGTTGGAAAATTGTATGATATATGTATTATAATAGCCAGTTAGTGTATTAAGTAGATTCGCACTCGCTCGGTTGAGTCCATAGTGTCATACTTCTTCTTCTTCCTTTTTTTTTCGGGGCATAGTGTCTTATATTCTTACTAGCAGCTAATAGCAAAGCAAAATGATGGATCCGCGTATGTGTAGAAAATTCATCAAGACATTAATTAGTGGATGACCAGCAACGTTTCTTTGCCTTGCTCCCGCTGACTCAAGCGATCGAGCTCCTCTCTCACACATCACCCTTCATCAACATCCATATTTACTCGTAATATATGAACCACCACTAAACCAATGCAAACAAAAGAACTCCACTCGACACTTTGGTAGACTTAACTTGACCCCAAATATATGATGGACCCAAATCATCAGTACTGACGAACTAGTAAAAAATAGCATACAATTTTTTGTATGAAACAGAACTCATGTCCTTGTCATTAAGTTGACTACAAAATTCTTTACATATTGAACTAGCTAATGCAAACTAATGGATCTGGATGGATCCGAGCACTATAAAGCAAGTATTGGAGCACTCTGTGAATTCAGCGGAGCTTGTGCTCTATAGATGTTTCCTTATCATTTTTTGATTTACTCTACTATCTATTAATTCTGACATACTTAGTAGGCATGCATGAGGGTTCTATTCCCTTTTTTCCAGGTTTTCATTATTTTTTATGGCTTTCTTCTATGTTCTTTTACAAATGTTAAAATAGTTTAAAAAAAATGTTCATTTTGGCAAAAAAAAGTCCAGAGAATTTTAAAAATGTTCAAAAATATACGAAATTGTACAAAATTTTCAAGAATATCCTATTTTGTGATAAATGTTTATGAGGTTTCAAAAATATTCACGAAGTTTTGAAAAGTTTCACAAAATAAAAAAAAATGAAATTTTAAACATATGCAAAATTTTCAAAACATATTCAGGATTTAAAAAAAATCTTAAGATTGATCAAAATATGTTCAATTTTTTAAAACATGTTATTAAATTTGAAATTTGTATAGTTTATAACAATAAACATTTACGTTTTCAGGAAAATATATGGAAAAACCGTCTGAAAACCCGGCAGACCAAAAACAAGAATAATTGTTAGAAAACCAATTGACAAATTGCTAGTGCTCTTCATGTAATAGCAACATGTTCTCCTATTAGACGCTCAACTGGTACGCCCCATTTGTATTCTAAAACACAAATAGTTTTTGAAATTTCGAGCAGTTTTTAAAAATTGTATTTTTTAATTCTGAATAATTTTTTAAAAAGTAGGATGCTTTTTTTAATTTTTTGGACATTTTATGAAATTATGAATTCTTTTTGTATATTCGAATAATGTTTGAAAATGCGAATATTTTTGAAATTGTGTTTATTGTTTGGGAACTGTTCCTACATTTGTAGTTGTAACAGTGGTTGGAAGCTCAAGCGGTATTCATATATACGCGGTGTTCATCTTTATTGAATTCATGCTCCAGCCAACTCATCCAAAAGTCCGAATTGATGGAGGGAGGCGGGCAATATATTTGAACACTCCCCTCTCACGTCTAGGCTATTTTAGTCCTTAGACGCGAGATCGGTGCAGACTGTAGAATTGTTTTATTTAATACTGCGTTGGTAGAGTCTTGAACTCAAGATCCCTTGGCTCAGATACCATATTGAATTGATGATCCAGCCAACTCATCCAAAAGTTTGAAGGCGGGCAATATATTTCAACAATCTCGAAGGTCTCGGGGAGGTGCCGAAGAAATTTTCAAGCTATACTGATGTGGAGGTGTGGATAATACCGACATTCGAGAACTCGACCTGATTGATCATGGCGATTTCATTCATATCACTGCTAGCCATGTCTGCTATTTTAGCTACCTGTTTCTTTGTGAGAAGACATCGAATAAGGCGGGACGGGCCTAGAAATCTAGAAGCTCGGGAATTCCATGGGATGAGCAGCCAATTAGTTAAGGCGATGCCAAGCCGACAACTGCACGTCGTTGATGTGTGCCATTGGCTTGGAGGATTACACTGTCGGAGAACGCATAAGAGTGCTGCCTTGCCGTCACGGTATGTCTCGCAAACTCTCTGTCTTATAAAAACTATTCCCTCCGACCCAAAATGTAAGATGTTTTACATTTTGGGACGGAGGGAGTAGTACCTTGCATATTTGATCCTTTGTCGTGCCCATAGTATTTTAGGCAAAACTAGCCAGCTCTATTTGTTGTACTTCTTCAACCTTCGAATTTGGTATTAAAAAAAATGTTCTGTGCTAGTTTTTGAATCTGTTGGCATGATGACTGTGTCGGTGTGATAAAGTTTACTCCTTCTGTATCAAAATGTAAGATGTTTTTTTGGTTTTGCGTAGGGCATAAAAAACATCTTATATTTTGTTACAGAG